TAAATCGACGGGTGATAGCATTCTTATGGTCTCGGCTTTGGCGGCAGCAGTGACAGCTGGTACGTTTTTCCTTTGCTTCATTATATGTGGTAATACACGGGATGAAATGTTTCCATTTACCGTGCCCTAACCTAAGGTCAGAAATTGTGCCAAACTGTCCAGCAAGGTAAAACACCTGCATGTATACATTGATCGGTCCCGCAAGAATTTTACTGGCTTTATCGCGCGGCGAGTAATCTGCCGGCCGGATCGTTTACAGTGCTATTTCTCATTATGTACCCTCGGCGCACAGTATCTTTAAAATTTTCGCCGTTTTTCTGTCCTCTTCCAGTGTTTTCTTCACGTGCAGCCTACTGCGCTCTTTTGCCCTCCATTTTCTAGCAAAATAGTCACACCTTTGCAAAGCAAAAATGCCTTTAAGGTGGAGCGAAACAGGTTCTCAGGGGAGAAGAAAGGAAAGGACCCCTTCGGATACCGGTTTAGTGCTTCTTAGTGAATCATGTTTTCATGGTGGTAGCGACGAACCTCTCTGTGCTGGCTTTACTTTTTGTGCCTACACATCTACATTCTATAAGGTTAATCTATCATCTTTTATTTGTGGCATATTCTTTTCTCAACCAAGGCCAGCTGTTTCGGGATGTGCAGCGCATTCTACCTCTACTTCAATGAAGTGGCGTTTTTTCGCGGCCTTTTGATTATGAAGTGACTTGCGTGGGCCAGTTCGTGGACGAGTTAATATTTTTATGTTTCCTTAAGATTTCGATAATAATTAACCGACCCTGAAGGATGATGGGCTTGGTTGCTCTGACCAGGGAAGTCTTCCAGGGAATGCCCAGCTTTCTTGAAACGGCATTTTGCATGATATAGAGGTACGTGCATGGAACACAGAACTGTGGTTCATTTTTCCTGAGCGATCACTTTGAAACGCCAACACAAAATGCAAAAAATTGTCACTGCGAGGATTCGAACCACGGACCACTTCATCACCCTTTTTTGGTATTCAGAGGGCCGCTCAGGAAAAATGAACTACAGTTCTGTGTTCCATGCACGTACCCCTATATCATGCAAAAAACCGTTTCGAGAAAGCTGGGCATTTCCTGAAAGACCTTCCTCGTGAGCGAGATCTGAGATCTGAGGATTTGACTCGAGTACCGAACACACCTTGGAAGTGGCACCACTTTTCACTACCCCACTTACGCCCAGTGAAACTATGCTGCCTTCTTTTAATATATTGGTACCAGTCGGAAGACACAATATTCACAATATGGCCCACCATTTTCTACGATTGTTCCACAGTTAATTGAGATATTGGACACTTATGAAAGTCAACATGAAATTTCACATTCTGTTACTTTCGCTGCTGTTGTTTATTGGCGCACGCCTTTAAATTTGCTGTGTATCGTGCACGAGAATAACAAGATGGTTGGAGATTTGCATTTTCAGGTGTCTACATTGTCGGAAACTGTGGCAGAGAATGCAGAGATCTTGTGTATATGTGGATCGGAAGTTTTTCAACCACGTTCATTCATGTGATGCATTTTCGCTGCTTTTTAGGTGGTCTAAACCACTATTGTTATAATCAACGTTCATGTTATAGTTACGTTTCATCGAAGATAATTGCATGCGATCATTACTGTTTGCTGCCGTCGTTTCGACATGGCTTGGAAATCGCACGGCGAGGATGAGATCTTCGCTGCATCGTCCATTTACATGGAAACACCTTGTGGTACGTCTATCCAAACGCGTTGTTCCTCGAAAAAAAATCGACTTCTAATGGGTTTCAAGAGTCTAAAAACTAGACTAGTTTGCGCAAGCACTAATTGAACACAGGAAAAAGTGTTTGCGGTGTTTATGATGTTTATGCTTTTTTATGTAAAGGCGAGGCATAGTAAGCATAAAAACCGTATCGCTTGTATGTCAACCATGTACAGTGAAGGAATAGTTTAGCCAGTTTTCAGTCTTAATTTTGTAATTAATTATAAATAATGTAATTTTGTCAGACGTAAGGTTTATTTGCAGTTCTGGACCTCGTTGTTCGGTCTCCTACTTGGAGTTATTGCTGTTGGTGCTACACGCCATATCTTTCACAGACGAGTGAGTTTCTCTTCATGAATTTCTGGTATTTCCATCCAGTGAAAGGGGCGCCTTTAGTCTGCCTTTTCCTACTGGGGTACCTTATTTTTTGTGTGAAAGGCTGAAATAAGTTGATTTTGGCGACATAATCGATCAGGTTGAGAATTGCTGTGGTAGCGCCGCTTTTGTGGCTTGAAATTGCGCAGCGGGAACTCTGGAGAATTCCCTTGCCTGTATGTTAGCCTTTAGCAAGCTGATTCTCTGAGCTCAGGTAACGTTTCACATTTGCCGCTAATAAAAAGCTGCATTTGAAAAAAAAAAACAGTAAATATGACAAACCACGAAAGAGAAATCTAGCAGGAATCAAAAAGATGGGGGAATTGTGGTCACGTTGTTGCCCCCAAGCACTTGCAGAGAGCAAACAGCTCGAGAAGCTTGCCCGAACAGACAGGCCTCGTCCAATTTGGGAGGGCTTTATTTAGAGCTTTATTGGGTTTCTGTTATTTTTTCCAACTGTTAGGCCACTTAACACCTACAGTTTCACATTTGAATTCCATAATCAATTTTCTGCATTCGCGGAATGTTCCTTTAAGGGTTGGTCAAAAATTTTCAAAGGTACGATGAATTGGATGTTGAAGAAGGGAAATCTGCCTACTCTAAAAAGAGATCAGGCCCAGAAGGGACCGAGATGTGGCCTTTGTGTGACGAGCAGCGGTCTAGCAAGGCCTTTCACGTGGTGTCCACCGCCTTCATGGAGAGCCCCACCTCTAGGTGGTGAATTAGGCCTCTGATTAGTTGGTAGTAAGGGGTAACCGTCGGGAGAGAGTAGAGAAGCAATGCAAGTCGTACACGTAAATGATGTCAGCTGCTGGAAAACCATGTCAGCGGACACAAAAAAGTGGTCCACTTACTGCGTTTCGGGCCATTTCCCTGATTTTCTCTTCACTACCGTATCATTTGCTGGGACTCGGCTTTCATGTTCATCGGCGATCAATTTATGGTACCATGTGCCTTTAATTTGTAGTCGTACTCGGCGACTGCAAGGAAACGGCCTCTCTCTTGTGCGATGGTTGGGTGGAACCGTTGCGTTATGCAACTAACCATAAGAACAACAGGAACGGAAGCGAAAACAAGCGCATGTTTGTTTACACAGGGAAGCTTACTTCCATCGTGTTTGCTGTGGACGCCTCAGGGTTGGAGTGTACGTTTATCGAAATGGCCGTCACCGGAATATACTGGTAATGCCGGGTGGTACATGCCTTCGCGTGTTCTCTCTCGTATGTGAGCTCAGAAAGATTGAATTACGAGTTGAACTTCCATCGTTAGCAAGCTGCTAGACTTCACGCGGTTAGTCGACTCTTTTGCAACTCCTGATCGTGGATTTGCCAGATATTCCTAAAAAGCGGAGTTTACCATTGAAGAGCAGCCCACCAGACTAAAGGTAGAAGTGGTCTGTGGTGCCAGGATGAAAAAAAAAGAAGCATAAGAAATGGCCGGGAACCCGAGAAGTAGTACCCCTTACTCGCCTGTTGATTTCCTGCATTGGTGCGGCTCTCATCGGTGCTACCCTCTTCAGCGCTGACCACTTTCTGCTGAATGGCTAGAGACCTGCGGCGAGTGGTGAGCAGTCGGTGGGCGTGTCGCGTCGATAGCGCCGCGGAGAAGGCCATGCTAGGTCGCCGCGGAGGATATCCTTCCGTTGCGAATTGCGTGTTGGTCCGCACCCCTTAGGGGTCCGCCTGTCTTTCCACTACGTAAATTTCCCTTTCTTCGACCTTTCGACCTTATCATGGAATCCTCTTTTAGTCGGTCTGTCGGTCCGGTTTCGGTGGTAACTTTACAATTTTCAAATTTTACGCGTTGACTGTTCCTGCGCACTGGTGGCATTGTTTCTTGAGTTGGAATCGTTTGAAGCACTGCCTCGATTTTCTATGAATTTCGGGTAATTTAGGTGTCCAGCCACGGTTCGAGGAGAATCCAGTGTGACGACGTCGGTTGGTGCGCTTTTCTATGATCGATTCATGGACCAACAGCGTGCCTATAGGTATCAATTTTTTGATTTTAAGAGTTTCTCTGTCCCCGACTTACTCAGCATAGTCGCACTCGATTGCATCTCAATACATTTTTCAGATTCTTCGAAGGCGATCCTGTCTTATCGTTTGGTCCATCAGCGTCGGATACAGCAAAGGTCGTTGCTGAATTCTAAACTTTTGTTTCCATTCCGAGATAGTTTTCATTCAAAAGATTTTATGTCTTTCTGTGTTTTCCCTGTGAATATGGTTAGTGGGCGGTTAATTAGCAAGGGCCCTACTTGCCACGCCGACGAGGGCACGCGTAACTTTCCCAATTGGAGCCGTCCAAGCCGAACCCTTCTATCCACAGTAACTTGTGCAATGGCAGCTCTCGCGAGACGTGCATAGGTTTTTCAAAGGACAGTTGCCCTCGGTTCTTCAAACCACCTCAATTTGATTCTCCCGTCTGCGCTCTATCACCTAAACGGTGACTCATGACTACAGATCTGCGATCGCGTTCTTTAAATTTTACGCTCCGCAGAACTTGGAGCCAAGCAAGCGCCGTTCTCTTAATCGCACTGTGTGCTAACCATGGAGTGCCAGGGTCCATTAGGCGAAATTTGAGTGGTCAAACTGGTATCAGATCGATTTGCATTCAATCGTGACTTACAATTCTGATTTGAGTTTCGAGCAGCGTGCGTATCTTATCAGTTGGGCTGGTTAGCGCTGGATGCTTGGACCTTTATTCTCTTTTCGCTATGTTTTGGACGGGTAGCATCATCCTCGTGCATCCGCAGTGAATAGTAGTTCTTATGGAGTTATTTTAGTAATGACGCACCCACTCACCACAGGTGCAAAGTTTGGGAAACAGGTCTTGTGTGTTGGTGGTTGTTTTGCAACTCAACCGCTGACCCGTCTGCGTCTCTGCCTTCTCGCCGCGCAACGGGCCTCCTGTCGTGTACTCCCGACTTTGGCTGAAAAGTATCTTGGTCGTGAATGCAGCTTCTATGAAGTTCTTCTTCATACTTCCAGGAAAGAATATGGTGGGACGTTGATTTGGTTGGAAGAGCTCCTGCATGGGCAGATATGGCAGCAGTATTCATTGTTGACTTGATCCACCAGGAAACACGAGTTTTGGAGAAGCGAAGTAAAGTTGAGCCGTTGAAGTGGGCCATGTGGAGAATGTACTTGATTATGGTATGTTTACACATTCCACTGATACCTATCGATAATCTGCTGATAATTTTTCAGAAATTTGACACATCTGCATTCATCGCTCAAAATGATCTTCAAAAACTTTGTGCTAAATGGACAAAGGAACAAGCCAGCATGAGGTCCAAGCCAACTCCATCTGAAAGAGGGAAAGGAGTACAAGATTATCGTTTTCTCAGCACAGCTAGAGCCTGTGATATTATCAGTAAATGAGGTAGATGGTAGGCTGGAGCTTGTCGTTCAGCATCGCTGCATCCATTACCTCCAAATGGTGATAGGCCTCATTGTAGTAATTTCCGCCTAAGTAATGCCTCACGGAAGCTTTCATCTACTAGACGTTTGTAAATGTCTAAAAACAATATAACCATTCGTTGGTGCGGATCCAAACTTCTACTAGTTCTTGAAGGCAGCGATTACGATGCGTTCTGGAGGGGTCTAAAAGGGGTGTGGGAGTACTTAAACTCCGCAAGTACTACCATTCACCACATTCACTGCGGATGCACGAGAGTGATGCTACCCGTCCAAAACATAGCGAAAAAGAGAACAAAGGTCCAAGCATCCAGCGCTAACCAGCCTCTTGATGAGATACGCCACGCGCTCGGAAACCCACTCAGAGTTGTTTGTTACATGGATCGTATAACTTCGTTGACACTAAAATTTTCGCCTATGGCCCTGCCACGAATGGGTAGCACACAGTCGATCAGAGAACGGCGCTTGGCTGGGCTCCAATTCTGAAGGAGGCGTAAACGTCTAGAACGCGATCAGTCTAGTAGTCATGAGTCACTGTTTAGGTGATAGAGCGCAGACGGGAGAATCAAAATGAGGCGGTTTGAAGAACAGAGGTCAACTGTCCCTTGAAAAACCTATGCACGTCTCGCGAGAGCTGCCATTGCACAAGTTACTGTGGATAGAAGGGTTCGACAGCTTGGGCGGGCTCCAATTTAGGAATTACCTCCTGGTCGTGCGCGTGGCAAGTAGGGCCCTTGCTAATTAACCGCCCACTAACCATATTCACAGGGAAAACACAGAAAGACATAAAATCTTTTGAATGAAAACTATCTCGGAATGGAAACAAAAGTTTAGAATTCAGCAACGACCTTTGCTGTATCCGACGCTGATGGACCAAACGATAAGACAGGATCGCCTTCGAAGAATCTGAAAAATGTATTGAGATGCAATCGAGTGCGACTATGCTGAGTCGGGGACAGAGAAACTCTTAAAATCAAAAAATTGATACCTATAGGCACGCTGTTGGTCCATGAATCGATCATAGAAAAGCGCACCAACCGACGTCGTCACACTCGATTCTCCTCGAACTGTGGCGGACACCTAAATTACCCGAAATTCATAGAAAATCGAGGCAGTGCTTCAAACGATTGCAACTCAAGAAACAATGCCAACCAGTGCGCAGGAACAGCCAGCGCGTAAAAATTCAAAATTGTGAAGTTACCACCGAAACCGGACCGACAGACCGACTAAAAGAGGATTCCATGATAAGGTCGAAAGTCGAAGAAAGGGGAAATTTACGTAGTGGAAAGACAGGCGGACCCCTAAGGGTGCGGACCAACACACAATTCGCAACGAAGGATATGCTCCGCGGCGACCTAGCATGGCCGTCTCCGCGGCGCTATCGACGCGACACGCCCACCGACTGCCTAACCACTCGCCGCAGGTCTCTAGCCATTTAGCAGAGAGAGTGTCAGCGCTGAAGAGGGCAGCACCGATGAGAGCCGCGTCAATTGCGAATCAGCA